ATTGTTCCTTTAGAAAAGCTATCTTTTGTCTAGTATAAAAGCTCTGCTACCTTCCATAGTGTTGTAGCATTGATGTCCTCATGTAAAACCTGTTTACCATACATCCCTTTTAGCTTACAACCTCTATAAACTTAAAGAGAAGTGGTTGTAAGAAGGTCAACCTTGCTCGAGTCTCTTTGTTCGTCCTTTAAATTAGTAGATATGTCGCTTAAATGTACTTTTCAGCATATATTCAAGTTATTTCCAATTGTTTTCTACCTAAGAGTCTCATTTGCATTCGAATTTGGTTAACTTAATAAACCTGTTTTCATTAAGAACAAACTGAGATCAAGGAAATGGTTTAAAGGGCTCTGGACTCCCTCATTTTTGGACATACAAGATTATGAACTAAAAGTCTTTGCTTGCAAGGCAAGAAAATGAACTTATGACAGACTTAAGCAATCTATGACAATCCTTGATAAACAAGAAGTTTAAGTAACTTGGGGCACAAGTAATTGACTTAAAACACACTTGTTATATATCTGTTGTACTGAGATAGTAGTGGCACGCCAAGGTCCCTTTTGGTTTTGATTGTGAGCCTCAATGCCTACACCTAAGGCCCCACAAAGGCACCTTTCAAAACTAACTACTAACCTATCTTGCAGAACACCAAGCAAGAGCAAGCCCAACAACACATCATTACACGCCAAGTGCCATTTACCCTTGGGGAGCTGTGCAACAGGGCAATTTCATCTTTGCCTTGAACACATTTTATGATAACTCAGTTGTGAATAATCTTGATTACTCGGAGAACCAAGTGAGCATGTCAATGCTAGTGCCCGCAATATCAACATTGTTGTCAGAATCTCACGCAACATCTAAGAGGAAGCGCCATTTTTTTGATATAATGAAGGAGAAAATGATAGAAATGAGGCAGAAGCAGATGATCAAGAACCGTGAGTCAGCTGCCAGGGCTACGGCAAGGAAGTAGGTCATATTGAAGTTTAACTTCTCAAATTGTACACAAGATTTGTGGTGTAGTTAGAGTTCTGGAAATACTCTCTTGTCATACTATCAAGTAGTATATGTCACATTGTGAATTTGGACCATTGATTATGTTGATTTTCACCTGAATGCAGGACTCAGATTCACAGTTTGACAACATAAACATGTTTAGCAAGAGAATATTATCCGTTACAATTAATTAGATATTTAATATGACTTGCAACTTATATTGAGTATTCTTTTTGTTTAATGATTTAGGCTTATACCAACCACTTGGAGCATGAAGTATTCCAGTCGCGAAAAATGAATAGCTAGCTCAAGAAGCAAAAGCTATCACCAGTGTCTCAAATTTCAAATAAATGACCACATGAAATCCATACCCTAAATTACGCTAGTGCTGAATGAAACTAACCCTAATACTATACTTCTTTTTTTTTTTTTTTTTTTTGAACAAAACCCTAATACTATAATGTAGCAAAATGTTAATTTTATCTAGCTCAAGGAAGCAAGACAGATTGGATAAATTTACCATTACTGCTGCTTGGTGCTTTTGGTTGCAGGAGCGAAGATGATCATATCTTCAAACCCTATTTCTATGCCTAAATACCAACTCCGGTGAACCAATTCAGCTCCCTACTAGCATCTGTTTCTACATGTTCTTTTGTTTATGATTGAGCTTCATCTATTCTTTTATTTATGGATTTCAGAGATTTTGGTTTTGCATTTGTGAGAATTGGTGTTTTTCATAAGATGGAAATTTTTTTTCTTTCTTATTTCTCATGTTAAGTACATGAACAAAACAGAAAATGAATTAATTCAGCATTGAAGCTTTAATTGGAAGTTTTAACGAAAAGCCCATGATATTGTTCACTTTAACGAAAAACTACATTTTTACACTAAAAAGTCAATCCTCGTACTATTCACTTTACCCTTTATTTTGTCTTTATCATTAAAACTCAAAGTTTTTAAGCCATTTTCATTAATTTTCCTTTAATTATATCATTTCTAATTCCTCGTTCGAGGTATGAGCAATTCAGTTTCCATTAGGTCTTGGCTTAGCCCAATGTCTTCGGCTTCACACTTGTGCATTGGGCTCTATTTTCGGGATTCTTGGTGAAATTTTAAATTTCCATATAATATTTTTGAAAAAGAAATCAGGTACCACAATTGCTTTAATTATTTTGTTAAATTTTAGGTTTCATCCATGCCTTTCTTCTTTCAAAACAAAAAATATTAGCTACTTACGTGAAAATAGTCATTTTTCCTCATTAGTTATAAGTTATGCAGTTTGACGATTCTAGCCACATACTATATATATAGCAAGATCACACGTATATTAATTTGAATAAAATTGAGTACAAGAAGTCAAGTTGATCGAGTTCATTCTCTTTTTTTAACCATATGACATCGATTCTAACTATCAAATCTTCTTATATCTGCTGAGGAAAAATTGTCAAGAGGTAGCTCAGCGACCAAGTCACTCTTCTTCCTCACTTGGCACTTAGTCTCGCGCCATCTTTTCCTCCAACTAGGATCCTACTTCCTCCGGGACATGTATCAACACACAATAATCTTAGAGTCACACATCGATCACGTTCAATAACTTCCCCGAACTACACCCAAAAAAGGCCATTTTTGGAGGCCGCTTGCTCCAGGACATCATAATCTCACCGATCCCTTCGACACTTCATGTCTTCCTTGCAGATTGTCGAGGCATAACTATACCAACAACTGAAGCACCACTGCGGAGGTTCACTCCACTATTCTAAATTATCCACTTTTTGGTATCAGAGGCCTGTTTTTCTTCTTTAAGAGTGTTTTCTTTTTTTTTTGGTAAATTCGGTAATGGAACTACGTTAAGAATTGGACGAAGTCCAGCCCAATTCAGCATCCTGGTGGAGGAGTAATTAAAAGAAGAATCAAATAAAAAGTGTGGAAGGCTTTAGAACAAACATTATCAGTGGTATTGAAAGTGCCCTGTTCACAAAGGGTATCCTTTGTCTCAAAGAGTTTGGGAAATTAGTGCGGACAAATGCTGAGATTATGATATTATTCTTTATCTATTATCTCTTTCTATTTTGCTTTTTCTAGTGCTTCAACAAAAGTGGTTTGAGATTTGAGTAATGAAGAAGCTACTAATTCACAGGAATTATGCTGCTGCACTGCACTGCATTATCACAGAAAAAGTGAAATAAGCAAGATAATGACAGATCATATGTATCATGTATTAGGGTTTGTTGACTCCTTTTTGTGGAGGGCACTTGGTAGCCCTAGCCTATTTGAAGTATCACCAACGAACTTTTTAAGGTTTTCAATTTATTTTTCAGGTGATTGTCACACAATCACGTTTTATTATTAATCTATTTGTCATATAAGATGTGGATTTAGTTCTTAATATTATACTTCAGGTCTATGACCTAGCAACCAACTATATTTTCCACCAATATTATAATACGCATACTAGTAACATTCTGTACTGAAAAGTTTATGAAAAATAAGCATTGTTTCATTGTCTTGTTAGGTTACTAAGAAGTCTAATTAATAATGGGTCAAACAAACAATATCTTCAAACATAAAGTATTTGTACCCTCTGTTATAAAAAATCTCGTCTAGAGCCACTTAGGCCCTGCCTAGCTAGTGACTTATCACTGCCTCGATTAATCCTTAGGCATTTGAAAATTAAGAAATGATGCTTAGACCTACCTGACATACGCCTAGGTCACGACTCTCACTTAGACAGAAAATAGATAACTTTCATTTTGTATTTTTTTTCTTCAATAGATTGAAAGAGACTTCTTGAATACTTGGATGAATTAACACTCATAACATGTTGGTTTCCCATGTTTTCAATATGAATACTTTGTAATCTATATGTCATTCTATTTTGCAAATAATAAATCCTAGTACAATTATCTATTTTTTTAAGTATAAGGAAACATTTATTTATATGTTTTTACAATAAATTTAATTAAAATATTGAAAAAAATTGTCTAGGCCTGCCTAGACACCTAGGTGCTAGACCCTTATTTCGCTGCCTAACTAGCACCTAACATTTTTTAGAACGTAAATTTGTACCACATTTTTCCTTTAATGAATGATATTTTGATTTTACATGAAGAAATTCACTATTAAAAATTAATAATTTGTATAGTACATTGTGGTAGGGCTTATATTGGAGTTAAGTTCCCGTCTCTTAAAAGGCAATACTTTGCTTATTCTTCGAAAGGAGGAAAGTCTTCTTGCCTCACTCAGACCTATCTCCAATGGTTGGGCTACAAGTCAAATATTTTAATTCAGAAAATTTAGCTTTTAGCACAGAAACAACTTTTCTACTCCAACCGTTCTAGCCTAAAATTTTAACCCGGGATTATTAAAGAATGAACTTAGGCTTTTTTTTTGTTAAATTATTTTTTTTTTAAAATAAATATTTAGACTATCGTAAATTAATTTTATGAACATTTTAATTTAAAAAAATTTAAATTTCGATAAATATTGGGTGAAGTCCACTTTGATTTCTGGGCTAAATTTTGGAGGGAATTTGGCCTTGATTGAGCATTTAGCATTTAGCTCAAATTTTCCCCTTGGGTTGGAGTGGATTTGGAAGGAAATTTTGAAAAGTAATTTGGCTTTTAGCCCATCATTGAAGTTAGTCTGACGCACTAAACATTTAACCGAATAATAAAGATGATCGGAAATACTATTGTGTACATGTAGAACTTACACTGTGTTTCTCTCTTATTATATGCTCAAAGTATTTACTTTTGTCCACGAAACATGATCATTTGGTTTACTGTCACAACGTCACAACTCTAATGAAAAATATCTAAGTTCAAATTTTATAAACGACAGATGTTGAATTGACGATATAAAATAAAAACAATTCCAAAAGAAAAAATTAATATATGGGAAGTCTGACTGCTCTTCGGGCAGCAGAAGCATGACACTGCATCACTGCCCATGCTGCCCCATTGACCATACTTCATTCATTTCCAACTTTAAGCTCAATCTCTCTCTCTCCCCCCCCCCCCCCCACTCTAAGAAACACAGAGAGAGAGAGAGAGAGAACCTTTCTCTCCAGGATCACAATCCAACGGTTCAAAATGAAAGCCATTCCTACGCAAAGCTTCCTGATGCTTTAGGACAAACAACTCACTCTCTCACCACCAAACCACAACAGCTGACGAACAAGCTTCGCAACTCTCAGATCTCTCTCTCTCTCTCTCTCTCTCTCTAAGAAAGCCAAAGCTTTCAGTACCAGCTGCTTCAAATTTCGCTAGCTCTCAGCTCTCTTCAGGTAACCACTCTCTTCGACGTCGTCGTTTCCTTCCCTTCCTAGTTTTCCCGGAAACACTCCGGCTGCCTGCTATAGCTATTATTACAGTTAATTTTATTTTATTTTTATTCAAGTATAAATTTAAAATTAGTGAAAAAGTTGTAATTTTACTGGCGGATCTAACGGTGGGGCCGAGAGGGGGAACAGATCTGACGGTCTGTCTTGACAGGGCGTTTTCCGTACGTCGTTGAGTCCGTACAAATGGAGACCAAAAGGCGTACGTCGACGAGTAGTGGTGGTGCTGCTGTCGTTCAACTAGTTGAAGCTACGTTTGGTCAGCTCTTGCTGCTAACGTGCGCCTGGGATGCTCTTCTTGCGAATCTGCTTACCGCCTCTGGCTTGCTTTCTTTCTCTCAAGTGAGTAGTCCAGTTTTAGCTTTTTTTTCTTCTTCGTTATATATATATTTTTTTTAAATTCGAAATTACATAAAAATCTCCTTTCCTTTTTCCTCTGATTTTTCCTCAAAAATGTTTAATTACTACTGCAGCTTATCATTATTTATTTATTTTGCTGAAAATATTCATTATTTATTAAATATTATTGCGAAGAATATGATGATAGGATATTCTGTGTGTGTCGTTTGTTTTGTTATGCCAGTCAACGGTCCTCGTACAAGTTTATTTGATTATTTAAAATATAAAATAAAATAAAATAATTATATTTTTTCTTGTTGTTCATCAGATATTATCTCAGCACCTGTCATGTCAGTTTGGATTTGGAAAATCTTTGGCACCTGTAATATATGTTAAAATTCCCCTTTCCAAACAAACAAGAAAAATAAAGAAAATCTAAATTAGGATTATTTGTACATCACAAATCATTTTTGGTTAATTTTTGCCTGCCCGCAGCAAGTAATATTTTACTATCGTGATAGAAAGATGTTGAGTTATTACATGACTGCGTGAATTTAAATTCCTTCAGTGATTAACTATAATATCTAATATAATAAAATCGATCGGTTGACAAAAAAATAAAAAATATTTGTCTGCCCACAGAAGGTTGACTGTCATCCGTTAATTATCATTTTCAATAAATGAGCGGCACAGATGTATGTAAATTGTGGACAAAGAGTAAAATATGATGATATTGCATTTGGTTGCGCAAGGGACCATCAACTGATGATATTGAACTCCATTAACTGTTATACTCTTAAAAGAAGAATATCACTAAACCGAAAGCTAATTAGTCATATTATTTACATTTTCGCTGTAGGTATTGGGTAGCAAAATATAACCTTTTAAGAACTCCTGTGGTCCATTAATCCTGTGGTCCTTTGGTTTCAGGATCCTTTCGTGCTCTCAACAACTTGTGGACAGAAAAGTCACGGGGTACAATGAGAGTGAACATTCCAACTCCGAAGCAGTTGATGGGGACGAAGATGGAGACGAAGAGAAGAACAATGACGGTGGCTTTGGAGACACTGATGAGGAGCTATCTTCGGAAGATGGAGGTGGCGCTGGGAACAACCCTAATGGGAAAAGTAACAACTCCAAAGCCGGGTCTGGAGGAGAAGACGGCGAAGTAGGCAAAGATGGTGAAGAGGAGGAGGAAGATGGCAATAATCATGACGACAATGACAATGATGGCAAGGATGACGGAGATGAAGACAATGAAGATGATGAGGACGATGAGGACGACGATGAAGGTGAGGTCAAGGACGAGGAGGAAATTGTGGATGAGGAGGAACCTGAGGACGATGAGAAGAGGACGAGGAAGAGGCCCTTCAGCCCCCGAAGAAGAGGAAAAAGTGAAAGAAGCATTTTTCCAATTTACCAACTCCGCAAATGTTGTTACTCTTTTCATAGGGGAGGCTACTGTTGCCAGAACCGTTTAAGCTAATTTTATTGTATGTCGTACACATTTTGGTCCAATAATATTCAGTTTACAGAGAGAATTGACCCAGGATTTCATTTGATCACATCTTATTGGCTGCTAATTTGAAGGCTTATAGCATAATTAATCTCAAGGATAGAGATTACTAAAGTTAATAATAATAGTAAAACTCCTCGATCTATGTTAATTTACAAGAATATACAACCACCAGATTATCCCGTCAAGGTCCGCCGGCCTTGCGTTTTGTTCAAGTCTCCACCTTGATTTACCTGTCCGGTCCAGAAAAAAGAGAAATTAAGAGAAGAAACATTAAATTTCAAGGATGCATAAATTGGTAGCTAGAAAAAAGTTACGATTATAAACAAACAGAGGCTGTCATAAATATAATAGTATTAGGAACATAATATTGGTTGTGATTAGTAAATATACAATATTAACTAGTTTCGATTGAAGTATGAACAATTAGACCAATTTTTTACTTTTTTTCAGTGAAAATGTTAGTATTCAAAGAGTTCCAAGCATAAATTGTGCACAGAAATATTCAAGCGGTGAACTTACAGAAAGCAGCAGATAGACCCCGTTGTAGCACCAAATCATTTTCTTTTAGCATCGATGATCATGGCTCGAGTCCAATGCTCAATATCCTCGGACTGTGATGGTGGAGGGGGAAAAGTCGGATGTTCCACAAGATCCCATCCTTCAATAAGGGATTCATTCTTCCCTTCAGACAACTCAGTGGAACAAAGAAGGTTGTTTTCATTTAAGTTTTTCTGCATAACAAGAGAAAAATGTATGAAAATCGAGTACGGTATCCATGTATCTAATGAACAGCTATGTAACAAGATCATTCCTACGAAAGCAAATATAGACTTTCAAGGTATTAAAGTATCCCGTCAGATTTAGGGACCAATCAAGGATTCTATGATTGTTTATCTTTATATGCCCCTTGTTGGAACTTGGATCACATCATGTCAATTAACATGCTGCCCGGCAGCATATGCCAGCAGCTGACCATAGTGAAGGAAAGGTGAGAAAGAGGAGAACTAAGGACATTCCTTCAAAAGTCACGACAGAGCATAAGTCCTACTAATAGGGTAAACCAATGGCGTGATTTATTAGGAAAAAAAAGTACACAAACTAAGAACCCAACATCTCCTAACGAAACTGATTTTAGCCCAAAAACATACCATTAGTGCCATTGCATGTGCGCTATCCAACAGAGTGGTTGACGATATGGCAGAATTCACATTCCACACAGACTTGTTTAATTGTTTAACTTGCTTACATGACCTGAAAGTTAAAAGAGGAATTCTAATCAATTTTTATATACCATCCATGGCATGCCTGTAGAGTTCTTTGACAAGATATTGAATATTAAGAAAACCATTAAAAGTCCAGGAATAAAGATCCAAAAATTGTTAAAACTAGATAATAGTTATTACTTTGCAAGAAAAAACTCTCTCAGAAGTTCAGGACTTCATGTCTGTCCAAATTTTTTTAAAGTTAACAGTTACTACTTCGTTTCTGCACAATGAAACTGAAATGAAAACACACAACATATTTCACAAAGAAAGGAGCTATTGGACAATATACCTCGAGCAAGCCATTTTCAACGAGAACACAGAATGAACTTCCTTGGAAGAAGATAATGTTGCCAACAATTTAGCAAATGCTTCAAATGTAGATACCTCAGAAGGGACATCTAAACATAGTGAGTTATAACAATACGCTGTAATGCATGCCGCACTTTTCTTAAGAAGTGAAATCCCTCTCTGCAAATCTTTGTGCGTTTCAACACTGTGTGCAGAAGCAGAAGAATAATTAAAGCTACCACCAGAAGAATCCAGACGCGGTTTTCTCACGGATTCTATTGAAGCAACACCAAAATTATTACTTGAGCTCCTGTCAGACCAACAATTTTCCCCGCTACAGGAGCAATAATTTTGGCGTGGTATAAAGAGGGGATATTCATTGCTGCAATAACATAAGTTTGTCAGTCAACAGGGTGAGAAGTCCAATTATGCCATGTCATCTGATATATCTAGCCAAAGTACCTCCGAGAAGAAGGGGATGCATCCCAATAAGAATCTCTTTGCCATATCCGAGAGCAAGAACCCTGAAGTAAGACAATCCAAATTTAGCACAAAACACAGGTATAACTAATCCATAACTACTACATAAAAAACTTATTGGCACATATGGTTTGCAGGATTCAACGGGCAGGTTTTAATGAAGCTTCAAATGTCTCTCCAGAAGCAAAGCGCACCTCCAAAATATAAAATATAAAAATGCTTTCACTGGAAGATGTTCCCAATGAAGGTATGCTTTCCTCCCGAACCAAAAGTGTTCCCAGTATTGAGAAAAATAAAAACACAAGTTATAAGCTAACAATATGAACAATTTAATTTGACACATGAATCACTTTCATTTTATATACAAGAAAATTTCTGAGAGTGTAAATTATCAAAGTTCCCCATTACTTCCAGAACGTTTTTGATATATTTTATAACCATCATTGGTACTTTTAAGCCCTCAAACATTTTGTCCATGGTCTTCAAAGAATATTTAAGTTCATCAGGAGGGTGAACAATGCTTACCGCAAAACCTGAGTTATGAAGTGCTGGAGCAGCTAAGTTATGAACAACAAGATTCAGGAGTTGAACCATGTACCTGCTCTCCAACCATAGCGATCGGTTATCAGTGTAAAATGCGATATCACCTTAGCTAAAAATGATCCAACTGGATAGAATTTAACTAATAACAAAACATTAACTTCATAACAATAGAATTTAACTAATAACAAAACATTAACTTCATAACAAATACAACAAGAGGAACAAAGACATTTTCCAGGAAAAGGTGATGAATCTCAGTAAGACAACATAGCAATTAAATATTGTCAAGTTCCACAATAGCATCCTTCTTTAAAGCTTATCTGGATATACAACTTTAAATAGAGATTACCCCAAGGAAGCAGCAAGCTCTTCTGATGGAACAGTGTGTGGATCTAGCCCTCTTGGTAAGCATGCATTGCAAATTTGATCATATAGACCACCAGATCCATCATTCTTCTTTTCATTTACAATCACCTAAATGAAACAATAAACATTAAAAAATTTAGATTTAACAACCCTAGCCCCAAACTATAGTAATGCTGTTTTTTCAAAAATAAATAAATTGGGTGCTCTATAATTCTACTTATAAGAGTCAGCCAAAAGCTTAACACAGTCATCAAGGTGTATCAATATAATTAAAAATTGAGTTCATAATAAAGAATACAATTATGATCATAACTTATAAGTCGTGCAAATAAGTCAAGACACGTTTACTTTTAAAGTGCTTACCCGACGTTGGGGAAATAATTTGCATATTTGTTTTATAACTACTGACTGCTTATGAAGGCGTTCAGAGGTAATGGCCATCTGCATTCAGAGAATGCAACAAGCATTATTATTTTTTTCAAATAAGAAACATGTCAAGAAGAGAAGGAAAAAATAATACAGAGCAGAGATAGATCTCAAACCCATCAAGATAGCATAACTTCAAAGTGAAACAGATCAAAATAAAGACGTAGTTATTTATCATCATGCATTCTTGTACAAGAAAGCTATACTAACTTCCATTAATTAGTGAAGATCAAAGAAGTAATTATAGTTTAAGGAGTATTAAAATGACTTACATGCCCTAAGTTCTGAGTGCATATAAGGTTAGGATAGAACTTATCCAATTGCTCCACACGATTCTTTCTCAACTGCAAATAGGAAAACTTAGAAGTCAAGATATATCTTAAAGGTCGTTTGATGGAGTTAAATACTAAATTATTCAAAAACATGAGGTACCACAGAGAGGGCCGAATCAAGCACCCCATATTTGACTTTGAGGTCATAGGATGTCTTCTCAATCTTAGCCTTCCCTGTAAACATCTCAGTCAGTCTAACAAATTCATATAAACACATCAATGATATTCAGCCTAGACAGTATTTGAGAAGAGGAATCAACCTTGCACAAGCTGTTCTTTATTACACTGGAGCTTTTCCCTTAATCTCACAAGCTTCTCATTTTGAAGCACTCTCCAATTTATTTGATCATCAGCCTTACCCTGACATATGTGTAAAGCATCAGTATAAGTGAACTATTCTGATGCCTTGAATTTGGAAATAAATTGTACAGAACTCTGATGATTTCATATCCTATAATCTACTGGAAAAGTGACATTAATAGGTTAAAGAACAAGAGAATACATACTCGTGTACACACTACACACCTAAGAAGCAAAATGGAACTTCCCAACAACTTTTTATCACAATGGACAAATTTCACATATATGGGTTACCCAACATTTATTCAAGATTAAGTTATTTAACGAAGATGAATGAGTAACCTTATCTTTATACAATAAATGATCATTTTAATTTTTAAGTAATAGTGGAATCGTTTCATGCCACAAACCGTATTCGTACTCAGAGCCTATTTAGAGTCCATGACCCATCTTTGCATCCTCAGAATATTTGCAGTTTAGTGATATTCCCCTTGGAATAAAATGGACACTCTACGGAACACTTTCGAATTTCAATCATGTCAAAGTCCACAGGCATTTGCAAATACTACACTGCATAAATAATATCAAGAACACAAAAGATAATATCTTGTGAAAAACCATTTTCATTCTACTTAACTTACAGGATTCTAGCTGATCATTCTATTTGGTGGAATACAGGCCATTTGAATGCATACAAAAACAAAATGAAACAACAGAAAAGAAAGGGAAACCTCGTTTCTTCCAAGCTCGAAGACAGATACACACCTTTGCGACAAGCACTTCAGTCAATCTTGAATACAATGAATCACGACGACTCTTCAGTACCTTTAACGAATTGTTATACTCATTTAATCTGAAAACAACACGCACAATTATAAGACGATTAAAGAGAATTGTTATACTTATTTACTCTATAATGATTCGAATAAATTCATAATATCACCCATAAATTCGAAAAACGATCAAAGTTCACATATCATACCTGTAATTCACACAAACAGCACAGATAGAAGCAAGATTTG